TTAAAATATATATACATATATATACTGTATACACAGACAACAACAGAACAGTGCCAAAATGGAGGAAGAGATGGAGAAAGAGAAGAGAGGAGAGGAGAGGAGAGGAGGGAAGGGTAGTCGGACATTTTCTTTACAATAAAAACAAGGACTCTGCCCCAATACAGGGGGAGTCTGGGGTCCCCTAAAAATACCCATCTAGAGAGAGAGCTGGAGGGACAGAGCAGGAGAAAGGGGCATGGGCTTGTACAATGGCATCTTCCGAGCCTAGCTGAGCCCACAGGATCTCAGCTCCGCCTGGACTTCGAGTGCTGGATAAGCCACTGTAGGGTGATGTCTGCAGAGGCAAGAGGACACTTAGAGCCTCTCCCCCGGCTGTCACCCCCTCCTGCACCCAGGCAAACCCATGGGCATGGGCTGCCCCACCCCTAGTCCCCAGCACTCACCAATGTTGTCCTTTTCTTTGCAGGAGATAGAATAGCAACAGATCTCTCGGTCCTGGATGGCAGAGAGGTTCCTGCAGCAGAGGAGCAAGCACTGACTGCAGGCCCTGGGCTGTGGCTGTGTGGAACAGCCATGGCAGACATCTCTGGGCAGCCCTCGAGTAATCCCTTTGGACCTGGGCTCAGAGACAGGGGACACTGCAGGGGCAGGGGTCCCCCAGGCTCACAAGGAGCTGCACGAGTCAGGTGAAGGTACCAGCGCTCTGTGCCTGTGACTGAGGGGCAGAGACAGTCTGGGAGTGCTTTGTGATAGGGCAGGAGGGACCCAACCCCACGGAGAGCCTGGCCACAAAACCCCACAGCTGTCCCCAGCCAGGCCTGGTGGACAGACAGGGCAGGAAAGGGTTGGGAACAGCACAGGGCTGGCAACACAGGAGCTGCACTGGTGCTCACAGACCAGGAAGTCTCTGAGGGGTGGATGGAGGGGAGGAGATGCTGTGAGTCAGCACAGTGTCCCAGATCCCCTTGGGGAGGCAGCGTGGAGGTGGGCAGCAGCAGCATCGGAGGTCACATGTCGGCACAGCAAAGGATGAAGGGACAGGAAGGTGGATAGTGAGTGTCACACACCAGAGCAGGGTCTGACTTCCCAGCCCCAAGGACTGATGGGGGTGCAGCACCCGTTGCCAGGAGTGGTGTACAGTCATGGGAGGCTGATGGGAGCAGCACCCCTGTGGAGTCCCAACCCCACCGCAGCACCCCTGGGGAGCCCCAGCCCCAGTGCAGCACCCCTGGGGAGCCCAGCCCCACCACAGTACCCCTGGGGAGC